GTCTGCGGCAGGAACCCAGAAGTGCCTCCCACCACATCCTCCCCACCAGCACGCTCAAACATGGGAGCCCCTCACTGCTTCCGCAGGTGTTCAGGGAGGTTTGCTGTTCAGGCAGCCCCGCTGGGCCCTCCCCGACCCCTGGTGGACTCAGAGCCCTCTGTGCCCATGGCTTCACACTCCCCCCAGCACCGTGGTCTTTAGGCTTCTGAGGGAGGGGGTGTGAAAGTTGGTGGGACCTGGGGCTGAGGTGTGGGAGGGAACAGGCTAGGAGACAGTTACAGCTAACTCTGAAACCTGCTCATGCACCGCCAACAGTTTGGAAAACTGAGTGCGGAACCCACTGCATAACTCCCGACCCAGCAATTCCCCTCCTGAGCACATACGCCCTCCCCCAAAACCAGTACATTCTTTGAGGTCAACTCTAAGGAGTAAAAAAAGAAGAAAGATGCTGGGTGTGGTGGCGTGCGCCTGTAATCCCAGCACTTTGGGAGGCCAAAGCGGGCGGATCACAAGGTCAGGAGATCGAGACCATCATGACCAACATGGTGAAACGCCCGTCTCTACTAAAAATACAAACCCTAGCTGGGTGTGGTGGTGTACTTGTAATTTCAGCTACTCCGGAGGCTGAGGCTTGAGAATCGCTTGAACCCGGGAGGTGGAGGTGGCAGTGAGCTGAGATCGAACCGCTGCACTCCAGCCTGGCGATAGAGCAAGACTCCAAGGAGGCTCACATCAGTGCTGTTCCTCACAGCCCAAGGACACTGCCTAAATGCCAATCATCAGTGCCGTTCACACGATGGAAAACCATGGCAGCTAGAAGTACCGCCTCGGGCAACGCGATGGATGAAATTCACAGGCCTTACCTGGAGTGAGAGGAGGGTGCCATAGCAGCACACACACTGTCTGCCTCATTTCTATTAAATTCAAAACCAGGAGAGACTAAGCCATGGAGATGACAGTCAGCAGGGGGTCACTCTTGGCAGCAGATGCATCTGGAAGCAGGTGCGGGGCTTAAAGGAGGCTGAGGCCAGGCAGCTCATGTGCCCTTGATCTGCACGCTGCTTACGTGGTGCTTCACTCTGCGTACACTCGTTGAGCTGCCTGCTTATGAGGTGTACATTCTTATTTCCTTTGCTTTTTTTTGAGACAGAGTCTCACTCTGCCGCTGGGCTGGAGTGCAGTGGTGCAATCTTGGCTCACTGCAACCTCTACCTTCCCGGTTCAAGTGATTCTCCTGTCTCAGCCTCCCGAGTAGCTGGGATTACAGGCACGCACCAGCATGCACAGCTAATTTTTGTATTTTTTATTAGAGACGGGATTTCACCATGTTGGCCAGGATGGTCTCGATCTCTTGACCTCACGATCTACCCGCCTTGGCCTCCCAAAGTGCTGAGATTACAGGCGTGAGCCACCGCGCCCAGCCTCTTTTTTT